TAAATATAGAAATGGCACGGCTAAAAAATGTTCTGGTGCCCTTTTGACACGCCTAATTTTTTAGAGACACATTTAGTCATTTAATCCCCCAAACAATTATTTTTTACCAAATTGAATGATACCATACATATTTGAATGCTCATAAACCCATTTCTTTATTTAACAATAAATTTCAAATGATCATCATCATTGTCATTTATTCTAAAAACATGTGGGCATACTCGATTTCTGAAAGGCACACCTGAAATATTTGTCTGGTGCCCTAAGGCACACTTAGAAAAAAAAGTATTTCTATCCCTGTGTACAATATATGGGGGTAGTGGGGTTAAGCATTTGCCGAATACAAGGTTCGATTCCCCACATGGGTACAATGTATGAAGCCCATTTCTGGTGTCTCCTGCCGTGATTTTACTGGAATATTGCTAAAAGCGGCGTAAAACCAACTCACTGTTGTGAGACAGTGTAACAACTAGTGGTGGTCTGATTAATTGAAATAATCGAAGATTGGTCGCAGTGGCCAAACGACCAAACAATCGATCACATTTTCTCATAATCGAACACAAACAATTTTGGAACCGCTGTAATAGAGTTTGAAATACTTGATGATTTAACATATCTAAGACGTTGTCAGGGCCTGAAAACGTGTTTATTTCTAAGAAAACTCACTTCACTTTCTGAAAAGTCATGACTGAATATTTCTTGAAGAATCTGGGAAGTTAATGTTACACTGGAACTGAATCATTTTACACTGGGTGTGAAATCTGCAAATGTAATTTGTGCAGTTTCTGAAAAAAAACCCAGAGAACCAAGTGTTTTTTCTTTATACTTATCTGAAACTACAACCTGAATAGGAAAATCTAAAAATGACGCTAACCAATTTTTTTCGATGATTGGTCGTTGGTATTGAACCAATCATCAATTGTGAGATTTCAACCAATTCCCAACACTAGTAACAACAGGAATAACTTGTGATATCATGGTAATTCACTATGGAGATGTTATATTCTATTTTCAATGACTGATCTTGAGCGAAAAGTTTACGTAGTCTTACGTAAAAGAGATGGGATTTTGATACATATTTAGGGGCAGTGGGGTAGCCTAGTGGTTAAAGCGTTGGCTCGTCACGCCGAAGACCCGGGTTCGATTCCCCACATGGGCACAATGTGTGAAGCCCATTTCTGGTGTCCCCCACCGTGATTATGCTGGAATATTGCTAAAAGCGGCGTAAAACTAAACTCAGTCAGTTGATACATATTTAAAGGACCAAGTTAGGATGTTGGCTTAACTATGAGAATGGTTTATCTACAGTCATATACAGTACATTTGTATATAAGTGCGGTGAGTTTGAAGCGACATTAACCCTGGGTTGACCTCGTGTTGTACCTTTGCTCAACAGCTGCTGTGACTGATGTCCTGGATATCCCACAGTAATCAACAGCTGTGAAGTCTTTACTTTGTCACTGTCAATATGCTGGTGCATTCTTTGTAAATAGGCGTGAGTTGGTTAATCGGACCAGATAGAATGAATTTCAACAGATTGCTAGAAGTCCCAGTGACACCATTCTCTTCCCACAGAGGTTACTCCTGTCATATCTTCCTACGTAGGAAGATATGACAGGAGTAACCTCTGTGGAATGAGAATGAAGAGAATCAGTTTATTGACAGTATTATGTTGACTTAATTGGTACGTTATTGATAAGCAAGCCTGGGTCTATACCCTCAAAAGCCCAACAATTCTCTATTTCTTGGAAATGTTGTTAATTTAATAATAAGGTCACTTATATAGCATCGAACTCCATGCTGCAGGGACCTGCTCTAAGCACATACAACATGGTGGGCATTATTACCCCGGATAACCCAAGCTGAAAGGATTTTGTTTGTTTGTTGCTGAATGCTACACTCAGCAATGTTCCAGCTGTTTAGTGGTGGTCTGTAAATAATCGAGCCTGTACCAGACAATCCAGGTATTAACAGCATAAGCATCAATCTACACAATTGGGATACGATGACATGTCAACCAAGTCAGCAAGCGTGACCACCCGATTCTGTTAGTCGCCTCTTACGACAAGCATTGGATCCTGAAGACCAGTTCAGCCGTCTCTTCCCCCATAGGGTTATCATGAAATGAGTAATGATGTGGAATTATATGTCAAACTATATCTACCAATGATTTAACTCAAGTATAATAGTTTGAACATTATTTGATATCGTTGACTTGACAAGTATTTTTTGTGATCTAGTTAATCAACAGCTTGTCCTTTTGTGAACCAAATGGATTGGGTGGTCAGACTTGATGACTTGGTCGGTAGCATGTTCTTGTTCCAGACTGAGTGGGTACTCACAATATCAACCACTGGATTGAGTCATTTACATGCTGCCATCATACAGGTGCAATATAGCTAAGTGCAGTGTTAACCTACAAAGAAATAGGCTGATATTTACTGGGGCCTACAGATGTGTGCTGTGGTAGAACTTATCTATGTCTGAACCTTGTCACTGTGAGATTATACAGTTTGACACCACTTCTAGTCCCCTTACCTCACATAGTCAAGTAGGAAGAATATTGATAGCTTAAGGTCAGACATTTTATTGGAAACCATGTAGTGGTTAAAGCTGCATAACCAGAAATTAAGCATTAAAAGGGAGTATTCAGCCTGAAATTGGGAGCAGTTTTTAAAATTCCCAAATTTGAAAAAAAATTCCTCAGCTCATGATGATACTGTAGTGACTTTTATTATGGCTTTATGGAGATGCATGATCTCAGGACAAAGAAACAGGAAGAGAGCTGAATGTTTGTTATACATTATTGCAATGTTAATGCACTGTTGCATTGGTGCTCAGATGTATTTGTGACACCCTTATGAATTATGAAAATATCCTATATTTTACCTTGTCTCTTGCAGTGTACTGTATTTTAGTGACTAGTGAAGATCCGGGTTAGAATTGGTCTTCAGCAACCCATGCTTGTCGTACGAGGTGGTTAACAGGATCGGGTGGTCAGGCTCGTTAACTTGGTTGACACATGTCATCGTATCCCAATTGCATCAATTGATGCTCATGCTGTTGATCATTGGATTGTCTGGTCCAGACTAAATTGTTTTCAGACTGCCACCATATAGCTAGACAATTGCTGAGTGTGGCATTAAACAACCAACCAACTAACTGTATTTTAGCATCTTCTTTTAATCATGATAATTAGTATTGTGAACATTAGCCTCAGTCATTTTGGTACATTTACACATAGCAAACATGTCACTAAGACTGGTCATTATGTCGCTTCTTACATCAGACAGAAGCTTATTTTTACCCAGAATTCCTTCATTAAATTTGTCATAATTTCTTGGTGTTGCAGGGGTGGAAATAACTTTAAAATTGCTAGTTTACTCTGGTACAGTGGCACATGTAAAATCACTTGCCCTGATAATTTTTCCACTATACTGGCCGATTTTCTTGTTGATTTTTTAAATAAACAACATAATTAACATTGGAAAGTCAACTGGACACTGGTACAGTGTGATATGCAAATTTGCTTGCCCGACAGAAAAAATCACTGGACTGGGGCATCGGGCAATGGGTTATTTCCACCCCTGTGTTGTACAACCCCTAAGTGAGACTGGACAGATTGATGTCAACAAGGCCCGTCATGTTAAAGTATGGCATGGTATCCCAGTGATCCTGCACTACGAAACCATCATCAGCATGATTAGAGGGATGTCGACTAGCAAAACATGCATGTACATTGTTGCATGAGTGAAACCATCATGAATCAAGACGGCTAACGTCATTTTATTTGATGTCTCATGTTAGGCGAAACCATGTGACACGGTGAAACGTGTGACACAAACATGTTGTAATTGTTGTTTAAGACAACCAGTTTTGCTGCCAAGTAGTGACACCCTTACCTGTTTAGAACTTAGATGCTTGTTGCCATGACAATGACATTCAGGCATAAGGTACATAAAGTTTCCCTATGACACAACTATTGACGGAACAGCATTACTACAGTTTCTTTGAAACAGCCAATTTTTCCAATTTCACATGTCTCCAACTAAAGGGTTATGGCTGACACCTTATCCTGCATGGGTGGAGTTCATTTTAAGCTCTAAACATGGTAAATGAATGATAACACTGCTATTGCTTTGTAAAATGGGACCCATCTTCAAATTACTCTGCTCGTTAATCAGTCATGCTGACCGGGGACAGATGCCAAGTGGAGAAGAGATATGAGGGTTATCAGTTCATGTGAACTGTATGCAGTACAGTAGGCATTGCATAACTTGCCGTTTAAACCATTTCTGCATTGCTTTAGAGGTTTTTAATATATATTTTTCTGGTACTCGATACACCTTGTCTGTTCATCTCAGATTTTGTGAGGCCATTTTGTGATGTAAAGATACTGTGTTACTTGCCAAACAGAATCTATGTTGTAATAGTGTTTCTTCAACTGCCCTCCACATTTTACACTGGGCCCACAGCTTTATAAATGTGCTTGAAGGCTTACAGCTTACTCTGTTTAGTTTCAGACACGGCTTACAAATGTCTCAGGCTTCTTCTTGGACCGCCTCCGTGGTGTAGTGGTTAGAGTGTCCGCCCGGAGAGCGGAAGGTCGCGTGTTCGATCTCCGACCACGTCATACCAAAAGACGTTAAAATATGGTACTTGTTGGTCCCTGTCTGGTGCTTGGCATTAATGGGTACAACAAGGACTGGTCGGCTCGGAGTCATATAATGTGTCTGAGTGGGGTATTCATGCTTCACTGCAGCATGGTATCTCAGTTGGCTAGCACTATAAAACCAGCTTAAGTCTGGGCTAGTACAAGCAGCCGCACATACACATACACACGCATGCACGTCGTCATATGAGCGAAATATTCTCAAGCATGACGTTAAAACCTAATTTCACCTCACCTCACCTCTCACCTCAGGCTTCTTGATACTGTTTCCTGCCAGTGTTGGTCCATGCCATGTTAATGTTTTAACTCCTTGCTTGTTGTGTTCCAGATATTACAACAGGTAAAGCTACTCCTGACAGAGCTCTGTTCCCTCCACGACATCCCTGTACCAGAGGAGATCGCCTTTATTGACAGTGCTTTAGTCAACCGGGTAGGTCTGTTAGTGGAGCCACAAAGTTGTCAGTACCCTTGTCTCCTTATTGGGGTTCTGGAGCAGAGAAGTTATAGCCAGTATTATCTTACCTCACACATAAATATCATTTTCCAATTGGCTGAGCACTCTTATATTATTTTCAAAGTATCCTGCTTACAAGCGAGTAACATTTTCTAAGTTACCCACTGGGAAAGATAAAGAAGAATTACTAACACAAAGTACCGAATGAATTCCCACTGTTCGGCATTCCCAGCGGGGTACACAGGGGTTGAAATAACTTTAAAATTGCTAGTGTACTCCGGAACAGTGGCACATGTAAAATCACTTGCCCTTATAATTTTTCCACTATACCGGCTGTGTTCTTGTTGATTTTTTAAATAAACAACATAATTAATATCGGAAAGTCAACTGGACACCGGTACAGTGTGATATACAAATTTGCTTGCCCGACAGAAAAAAACACTGGACTCGGGCATCGGGCAATGGGTTATTTCCACCCCTGGTACATAGAAAATGACAGAAGAGCGCTCAGCCAATCAGAAAAAGACATTTATGTGTGAGGCAAGATAACAACCCATGTCCTCCTCGTGACCAGTGAACAACTTATAATGCATGTGTTTGAGCCTGATTGTGGAACATGATGATATCCATTGTTTCTTGTTTGTCTCTGGGGATTCTACAACAGGTATAACCAGTACCTTATGCTTGTCTCCAAAAGACATGAGGCAGATCAGGTAGAATCTTGTGTGTTACAGATCTGTAATGTAGTTTGAATAATGCTTATTATCATAATTTACTCCGAATGCCCATTTTACGCACCAATGTTGAATAGGTCAGTGATCAGTTAATAAATCTCTTACTCAGGAATATAAAAGTTCCTTTTCTCAGTATTTACTTTACTATGTTTACTCTGGATAACCATCAGATATTTATTTTTGTTTTCATGTCACAGACATATTTAAGAATGTTAAAAGAAGCATCAACATCTGAAACAGTGACAACACTTATAAATAAATCCTCTGCAGTGAAGTCATAAGTTTAAGAGAGCTGCTGTAACATGAGTACATTACGTCTATGATGCAGTATTTAGGATTATTACCTATCAGGGCGAAAATATCTGGGTTCATATTTTTCATACGATGCCCTAGGGCAAAATATCACTTTGTCATGGTGACGTGACGTCAGGAACAATGCTATGACTTCATGTTTCTTCTGTGACGTTGCCTTCTACATGCGGCGACGGCGGGTAGCCAGCCTATGTTTGGAAGTAGATATGGGTTTATTTTCTCAATTTGACAGTAATAAACAGAATATTATGTTTGTGCCCATATCATATTATGTTTACGACACTCGTGCCTAAATATCGGTATATCACTTGCTCTCGCTCGGTAAATACCAACATTTAGGCACTCGTGTCATAAACATAGTATGACATGGGCGCGCTCATATAATATCCTATTACTTTCACCGCCATATAGCTGGAATATTGCTGAGTGTGGCATAAAACTAAACTCACTCACTCTATTACTTTCAGGATATATAGTCATGTGATGTCCAATGCTCAATATGTCTGTCCCAGGGGACACTGGCGACCTTGTGGTCTCAGGCACTTAAATCCATTCTGAGAGTTGCATCCCTTTGTTGTATCAGGATCCACTAGTTTTGAATTAGATACCAAAGTAGCTCATATTAGCAGAAAAATAAAATTGTTCAGGAGTAAATGTGACAAACTTTGCTGAGTGCGGTGGAAAACTCATTGCATTCAGTTTACTACTCTAGAGAAATGTGAAGTTTACCTGAAATTCTTTCCAAATAGCATTAAACTCACACACCAGCTGCTGGGTGTTTCAGGGACAACCAGTGCGAGACCGCCATGAGAGCTCTGAAGAAGAAGATGAAGATGAATTCCACTATGACATGGAAGATGATGCTCAAAGGTAGGGAAGAACTACTAAGGGATGATCTTCTTTTGTTCCAACCAGATAAATGAAATCAAACGATTGCTGTGAGTTAACAAACAGAATTGTCAAACAATATATGAGGGATGACAATCCTGAAACAGTTTGATGAGAACAACCAGGGCCTAGATTTTCAAAGCTCTCTTAGCGCTGAGATAGTCGTATGTTAATGTTAATGTATGGCACTTACGACAATCTTAGCACTAAGACAAGAGAGCTTCGAAAGTCTGAGCCCAGGGCTTAGATTTTCGAAGCTCTCTCAGCGCTAAGATAGTCGTAAGTTAATGTTAATGTATGGCACTTACAACAATCTTAGCGTTAAGAGAGCTTCGAAAGTCTGGGCCCAGGACTGTAGTTATCTGTGTCATGTTCTGGGGTTATTGCTCTGGAGATTTGGCCTCACTCCCTGTTAACATTGTACAATTGACTGATGGTTTATACGTACAAAACCATGTGCATATTTCACACAAATTTAACACAGAGGGTGCTCATGTTGTTTTGTGTTGAAGCCAGTTCTAAATGACAAAATGTCAAGTTTATTAACTTCACAGACTGCTTGTGTAATCAATAATGTGAAACAAATTGTAGACAAGGGTAAACATTGTAAAATATCGGGGACACTATTTGGGCAATAAGCAACTCAAGTCCCGTTAAATCAGCTGTCAGACAGTCAGGAAGCAGGAGTCCCTTAGTAGGCATGACCTACTGTTTTAGGTTTATGGAAAGAAAATATTGTGTTTGGTTAGTGGACTAAGTGGCTAGTGGTGGTCCGATTAATTGAAATAATCGAAGATTGGACGCAGTGACTAAACGACCAAGCAATCGATCATGTTTTCTCATAATCGAACACAAACAATTCTGGAACACTTGTTTTCATAAACAATATTTTTCACAAACTGGTTTTGTCTGTTACATTTCATAAGCACTACAAGTTCGTTTCAAGTCATGATTGAATTTATCTTACAGACTCCATACTAGTCATCCCTTAAAGATGTGAAATTTTGCCAAAAGAACTACATGTTTTTTCCTTATTTTTGTGTGCATTAACAAATTTCATTAATGACGCTAACCAATTTTTCAATCATCAATCGGTTGTAATAAACCAATCATCAATTATGAGATTTTAACCAATTCCCAACACTATAAGTGGCACAGAAGCACAGAAATCTTCCAAAGTGTGGCTGGAGTGAACTCAACTGTGTTTAAGATTGTACTCTCTTCTTGTCTAAGATATGATTCAAAACAGTCTTGTATTGCCCGAGGAATGTATGCATTTGATGATGATGATGATGATGATGATGATGATGATGATGATGATTGTTCCAGCAGTGATCAGAAGGCCAAAGAGGAAATAGATGGAATTGACACAGAAAACCTAGCTGTCTTGGAACGGCTGAAACAGAACCAACGTCTGTCTTACCTAAAGGTATTACAGCTTCTGGACTAGGACCTTCATAGTGGGGAAACCCACTAGTACTTCACTCAGGCTGGTCATGAAAACTGATTAGAAATATATATGTTTGCTTGCTGAAGTGTGATTGGTTAAGAAATGTTGTATAAAAGGATTTGATCTGTCTGACTTTTCACTGCTGCAGTGTGATTGGTTGAAAAGGTTAAGATGTTTTCTGTCTTGTTTTTTGGTACTTCATGCTTTATAATGTCAGTGAGAGTGAAAATATGAGATGTGATTTTAACAGAATGTCCAGCACAGTCAGAGTGTAACTATCACTCAAAACAGGCTACCGGGATCTGATGCAATCTTGTAAGCAAGCTAAGGAGATGTGCCACCTGATTGGGGCAGTGGGGTAGCATAGTGGTTAAAGCGTTTGTTTGTCATGCTGGAGACCCAGGTTTGATTCCCACATGGGTGCAATGTGTGAAGCCCTTTTCTGGTTTCCCCTGCTGTGATATTGCTGAAATATTGCTGAAAGTGGCATGAAACAATACTCACTCTCTCGATCACATTCTTCATTGATCCGTGACTGGTGAGATAATCTTGGTATTAACCTCCATAATCAGTGACTGTTGAGACTGGTTGGGTCTATTGTTGTGAAGGGGTGCACCTTTATCAGTTGATTGTCAACATGTCCAAACAGCCGACACAAGGTCGCCGCTTGACATCTCAGTGTCGATAAATCGTCAGCAATGTCCTAACTCTCTTTTGAAAAGAAGCTACAGATGGTTTAATGTTTCCAATTCGGGCTTTTAGGCATTATTAACATTCTCTGCTCCCCTATTTCATGAAGTTAACTCGACCTGCCGTTTGTGCCATTTGACCTCCCAGGTTAAGCATATGTAGAGTAGCTCAGGTCAAGCTGAACACCCTGTACTATGTATTACTGCTCTGATTGATTGTTGTCCTTTACGTTCTAAGCAGGGATCAGTGACTGGTTCAGTCCAGGCCACCGACAGGCTGATGAAGGAGCTACGAGACATATACAAATCTGAAAGCTTTAAAAGACGTAAGGCATTGTACTTCACTTTACTAGTGCCTTAAGCATTATAACATACTTCCGCTTTTCAGAATTTTGCATGAAAGTCAATGGTTCCTCTGTAACCCTAGTGGTAAAATCAGTGCTGCAAATAACCACATAAACCCACTCCCATCTTAATTTGAAACTCTGTAATTTTTTATATATGTTGTTAAGATGTTATAGTTTGGATTGAATGGTTACTGTGAGCTTAGCATCACTTTGATTTTGTTTTGTCTGTGAAATGCAAGTATTCCCTGTTGATTGAAAAATGTGCCTTACATACACTGACTTCTGGATTACATTTCTTTCAGAAATCTATACAGTAGACCTAGTCAATGATTGCCTGTATGAATGGTGTGTCAAGTTAAAAAAGTAAGTCAATGATCCTGATCATACGAGCTTGTCAGTAGGGGTAACAATTTATGGAACCAGTGATGCTTCACAATACTCTGTAACCGAATGGCAAAATATTGAGGAGAAGTTAAAATTCCATTCATGTCATGCTTCATTATCACTAACTTCTTTGAGAGGCATTTAGAAGTTGGGGCACTAGGGAAGGATAACAATATGTGGATGAACAACTTCTTTATTATCCCCCGCAACAACAAAGTTGCGGGGGATATAGAAATGAGTTCCGTCCGTGCGTCCGTCCGTCACACTTTGTCTGAAGCATATTTCCTAAACTATTGGTGATAGCTTAACCAAACTTGGTACACATGTCAACCATAATCCCTAGATGTGCCTTTTGGGGGTTAGACCCAGATGCAAATTTTATTTTTGGCGGTTTCCATGGAAACATGACTTATGCTGTGACTATGAGGATGGCATCTTGTCCGGAGCAGATCTCCCAAACTATACATGCTAGCTTCATCGAACATGGTACATATGTCAAGCATGATCCCTAGATGTACCTTTTGGGGTTTAGACCCAGATATGAAGTTTATTTTTTGTGGTTTCTATAGAAACGTGACTTAGGCTGTGACTATGAGGATGTCATCTTGTTGCATTTCCATGGCAACAAGTTAGGCTTCAACTGAATTTGAGGGTAGTGCTCCTCTCTAGAGCAGATCTTAAAAACCTTTCAATACTCTCCTTGCACTTTGCTGTATACACTCCAAAACATTTGACATAATCATAACTATAGTTTGGCATGAAATGCATGTGGACCCGGGTTTTTGTAAATATCTCTTCATCCAATGACCCAATCGATCTCAAACTGTGCAAGTGGATGTTTTGTCAGACAACCTAATCACATTGTAAATCACCGAATTTATGCATTTGTATTAAAGAATCTGTCTATGGAACTGTCAACAAAATAAACAGCAGAACGCAGAATGCTTGCAGAGGGAGGGAGAGCCAATGACCTGTAACAGCGGCAGTGTTGGGTCATAAAGGTCAATGCACGTGTAGTTCATGATAGTTACCTGTGCACTGCACAGTGATAGACCGTTTGGATCATTCACATTGACTACTTCTAGCTGTCATCATGAAAGCTTATTCAGATGATGCTAAACGTTTAATTAGAAATGTGTTTAATTTTTTTTAAAAAGAGAGCAAACGTAGCAAACCGATTTATAAGGTGTCGGATTACATGAAACGTACAACTTTTGCTCTTGGCATGAAAAAGAACATCGTGCTAAAAATTGTAAAAAATAAACAAACAACCAATAAACAAAACCTTGTACAAAAAGGTAGGCTTCCAAAGTTAGATTCTTTTGACATCAGGGTCATCAGAGATGTCATTCGCCGGCTATTTGCAAAATTTAAAGATTTTAACCTACAGAATTATTCTCACTAATGGGTTTTGTGGTTAATGTTGAACAACTCAGAGAAACAAACTCCGTATGATGGTTAACACTTGGCACCCACCTTACCCTATTCACGACCTGTGACACCTCTTCATACCTGTCACGTGCATAGCTGACCTACATTGACGAACGTTGACCTTTATGACCCAACACTGCCGCTGTTACAGGTCATTGGCTCCCTCCTTCTGCAAGCATTCTGCGTTCTGCTGTTTATTTTGTTGACAGTTACATAGACAGATTCTTTAATACAAATGCATAAAATCGGTGATTTACAATGTGATTAGGTTGTCTGACAAAACATCCACTTGCACAGTTTGAGATCGATTGGGTCATTGGATGAAGAGATATTTACAAAAACCCGGGTCCACATGCATTTCATGCCAAACTATAGTAGACATCTTCATAAAGAGTATTTTGCCGTTGAGGGGGATATTGATGACTTTGTCTTCTTGTTACAGTGGGAGCAACTTTTCGGTGTTTGAACACACACAGAAACTTGCTTGAAAACAGAATTAGAACCTATACTGAAATGTTGCTCCCGCTTTGATATAAGAAGCTGTTCATTCATATATTGATACTAGCTGTAATTAGGATGGTCACTATGGCAATATATGCAATGCATCAGTCTCTTGTCCTTCTGAACGTGTTTGAACTTAAAAACTCTTCTTCAGAACTATGAAACATGACAATATAAGATAAATCACATTGTAATGAAGAATATAGCCTTCATGTCACCTTCTCCAAAACCAATAGACATGTTTTGCCATAATATTTTAAAAAGTGTGGTAGTTAGGGAGAAGGGTATTTTAGAAAATGCAAGAAAATTTGCAGCTTGGCTTGTTGGACTAATCAAGAGTTACCTCCCTTTCTATACCAATCTGAAGATATAAGTGTGAGGTCATTTCACATTTCATAGGCGGATCCAGAGGGGTTGGGGTGCAGGGATGCACACCCTCCCTTTTGCCCTGAAAAATGAAGTGTGCACCCCTCCTTTCCTTAATAGTGTGTGTGCACACACCCCCACACCCCCACACACCCCCTTCTCAAAAAGCTGTATCCGCCCCTGCATTTGTTGACTCATAATCCAAATACTTGTGGACCAAATATGACTAGTTGTTTTAAGAAAGTATAACTGTTTGTACTTTCTATTCAAATTAGTTTAAATTACCCAATGATATGTTAAACTTTCAGAAAACCTTTACAGACAGACTTGTAAAAATAAGAAAATACAATGTTCCGGCAGACCAGTTCTAGTGGCTACTGTGAGTGTATAAAGTAGTCTTGAAATATGGAATGTCCAAAAAAGTGACCAGTCCTGAGCAAAGACAGCCAGTCCCTAAAACAAAAACAATGAAAAAATAATAGATAAGACGAAGTTCAAACCAAGTTAAGTTTATTTTTCAAATATTTCCCCCGATCAAAGGACGGCCTTACTTATTTAATAGACCGTCCTTCACAAAAATAGACCGTCAAGGACGGTGGATGGGCTGTTTTATACACTGCTACTTCCACGAGTTTAGGTGTTGGTGTTTGTGTGCTACACTGTGTGTTATGTTCACAGGGTTGATCAAGACAGTCCTCTTCACTCAGATCTTCAGACATACAAGGAAAAGGAGGGGAAAGATTTCATCCAACTTTGTTTTACTTTCAAAGTAAGTGTGAAATTTACCACTAGAGAGTTTCCCTTGTGTTCTAATATAACCTGTTTTAACTAAGACATGGTCCACTTTGGAATTAACAGGTTAAGTGGAAGTATTTTGCAGTTTGTCTGTTCATGTAGAAATAGGATTGTAGTGTCTACTCAAATTTGATAAAACCCGTGAAGATCCGTGTTACAATTGTTCTTCAGTAGCCCATGCTTGTCGTAAGAGGCGACTAACTGGATTGGGTGGTCAGACTCGCTGGCTTGGTTGACACTAGGGCTGCAACGAATACACTATGTGGCGAATATGATACATATCATGAATATTGGGTAACAAATACGAATAATTATTCACGAATACAGTATTGTAGTTAAGTGATTGATGTACAATATGGAATGCCCATGTTGACAGTTTTGATTTGTCACAGCAATAACCAGTGATCTCATGACACTCAAATTTGGTATGTAATAGTTATAGTTGACAGTACCATGTGTGGCCTTGGCAAACTAACATGACTTGGGCTACTGCAAGGCTAGTAAAACATGCTCCCATAAAAAAAAATTGTAAATATTCGTTAATATTCGGTTCTGGTGACCACGAATAACGAATTGAATTCATGAAAGGCTGCGGTTCGATTCACTGAATATGCGAATGAATCGTTACAGCCTTAGTTGACACATGTCATCATATCCCAATTGCGTAGATTGATGCTCATGCTGTTGATCACTGGACTGTCTGGTCCAGACTCAATTATTTACAGATCGCCGCCATATAGCTAAAATATTGCTGAGTGCAGCGTTAAACAACAAACAATCTATTTATTCTTGGAGAATGTATTGTAGAACCAAACAGAACCTGTCCAGATTTCACTGTAATTGACCTGCTCTTTGAATGCTGTGACATTGTCCAAAACGGAGGAAACAGGTGCTGCTGTGATCTTTAATTACAGTATTTCACTGTGCAGAGTTGTGTCTCTTGGCTGCACCAGGAACTGCACATCTTTACACTGGTCATATTAGCTATATTAACTGCTGCAGATGTGATACAGATGCGTTTTCATATTAATGATTTTGAGAAATAACATAAAAATACTTGAAATTATGTCTTAAACATGTTGACTGCCACATGTTCTCAGTGTGGTTCAGGTGCAATGAATGGTTACTGATATAATGAAGTCTGAACTGGTACAGCAGCCACAGTGCTTTCATGTTGCTACATATAACTTTAGTAATCGTGAATGGAGCAAACTTTAACCTTCTCTCACCTTGCCTCACCAAATAAAATTTACAATATCATCGAATGTTCAAATTTGATTAGACTCGTGTAGATGCGTGTTATAATTGTTCTTTAGTAACCCATGCTTGTCATCAGAGGCTCACACGTGAAGGTCTGGGTTAGAATATTGATCCTCAGTAACCCATGCTTGTCGTAAGAGGCGACTAGTGGGATCTGGTGGTCAGGCTGGCTGACTTGGTTGACATCTGTCACCGTGTCCCAATTGCGTAGATTGATGCTCATGATGTTGATCACTGGATTGTCTGGTCCAGACTCGATTACTTACAGACCGTTGCCACATAGCTGTGAAATTGCTGAGTGTGGCGTTAAACAACAAACACCCCAAATTTGATTACCAATCGGAATAGTCCCCTTCTGTCTATCTCTCAAGATATTGCTGTCTTTTCTTTGTAGGATTCCTTTCCATTTGATCCTCCTTTTGTGAGAGTGGTGAATCCCGTCATATCTGGAGGCTATGTATTGGGTGGAGGAGCCATATGTATGGAGCTTCTTACAAAACAGGTAGGCTCCACGACAGTTCCTTGGATGGATCTGTGTTGTATATATATAATTCTTGATTCTTAGCAAGTCCTGAAATTAACATGAGACTGAGATGGTACAGTGTAGATCTGTGTCAGGACAATGCTACCGAGTATGGGAACAATGATGGCCATGCCTTTTGGGAACTAATATTTGGTAGAGATATTTTGGGGCAAATTTGTCTTTGAGTTATCTCCCTTTGGGTGATGGTTCAGCAGTGCTTCAGATTAATACAAGCTTAATATTTTCTCCCTGTCAGAAATGTTGGGCCTGGCCACTTATGTAAGATTACAAATATTTTCTCCCTGTCAGAAATGTTGGGCCTGGCCACTTATGTAAGATTACATTTATGTTACATTATCTTATTTTTCTGAAATTCCAAACTAAGTGGCAGATAAAAGGGATGAATTATTTTGTTCTGATTTGAGACTACTCTTTTTTGTAAACATGTTTAATTTAAGGGTGGTGGTAATGTTTTCTGCAATACAAAAAGCAGAACAGAAAAATTAAGCTTTTCGTTTACTGATCCTGTTAGTGAAATGTAAGTCTACCCAGCTGAAGATGTTACGATAATACATAAATGGGCAATATTATACTTCAATGTTAAAATTTTTACTGGCAGTTGCATCTGACTGAGGATGGAATGTTGTCTCCTGAGAATGTCTTGATGTATCCCTGTAAGTAAGGTTGAGTGATGAAGATACTGACCTGTACTCATTCATGTTTTGTTTTATTCAGGGTTGGAGTAGTGCGTACAGTCTGGAATCCGTCATATTGCAGATTTCAGCTACTTTAGTGAAAGGAAAAGCACGCATTACATTCAGTGCTTCAAAGGTTTGTCTTCATTAGTGTTGAAACTTCATGCCGGGTCATGTCAGTCTTGCGATCAAGTATTTACCAGTTGCATCTAAAATTTAATAATCGTTAGATGTAAAACATTGGTACATGCTATGGAACCATCAGGAAGTTAATTGTGTTTAGGGAAGGGATGGGTTGATTGTAATGTATTGTAGTTTTAATAATTACGTTGATTTAACTGGTGGCATGCTTGTATTGGCATCGTGTTGGGTTAAAGTTGAAACTTTGCGTCCCAAGTTGTTAATCTGACATGCAATGACAGATTGGGCTAACAGAGATGCCAACCCTCCCGAATTTATCGGAATCATCCCGAAAAATGCATGTTGATTCCGCTATTGCGAAAGTCAAATTTCGTTCCAATTCTTTTCAAAATATAACAAAGATTGAGATAGTCTTACTTACTGGGGGGGGGCTAGGATCATCTTTGACTATAATAAATGATAACTAAATAAATATAACACTTTCTTAAATTGTTTAAAATAGCAAGTAATCAGGAAGTTGAGTAGGCTGCCTGATAAGTTCCACGCACTGTTTATTTCACTTTATTTTCACTTACCATTCACAAACACTGCTACCGAGTACGGCAAACTGGTTTAAGGTTGTAAAAGAATCGCGATGTGTAATGGCATTGAAAAGTTTCGTTCCTTGAGTGCAACAATTTATAGGGATCCCTACTTTGTTGGGAAAATTCCTAATTTGTTCTATCTTAGGGAGCTCAGATTCCTAATTGCACCAATTTGGGTTTGGCATCTCTGGGCTAATGACTTTTGACTTGCAGGTTTGGAAGATTTGTACAGTGACGTTTGTATGACAGTTTTGAATATTTATTGTTGGTACAAAGATTAAAAGAAACCAAATGATTTGTCCAAACTCTGAGCTCTCTCGACAGAAGGACAAGTTTGAGGATCATGTGTAGTAGACAGATATTTCTATATGTGATAGTTTCTACACCTGATATCATCGTTCTTTACCTAAACAAGACACCACAGGTGGTCCTGACTCAAGTACCAATCATACTACTGGAATCTTGCGGAAAATAAAATATGATATAAAAAAAATAGTGCAAGTGTTGATTCAAAGATAAGGCTCAATAAGCCCCAGCGACTGGATGCCAAAGAGTATATATAGAGTGTTCTGTTTTGCGTTTTATGTGTATGGTGAGTAATTTCTTGTTTTTTGTAACAACAGACCCAGTACAGTTTGGCCAGAGCACAACAGTCTTTCAAATCACTTGTACAGATACATGAAAAGAATGGTATGTATATGACAGGGTGGTATAATTGATTGCCTGATGTGCCAGAAGCAACAGTGAATAAAACACCTGTTCACCTGTGTATATGGCATCCCAGTTGGGTAGATCAATGCTCTTAATGTCAGTCACTGGATTGTCTGGTCCAGACAGCCATCATCAGGGGTGGAAATAACTTTAAAATTGCTAGTGTACTCCGGTACAGTGGCACATGTAAAATCACTTGTCCTGATAATTTTTCCACCATACCGGCCGTTTTCTTGTTGATTTTTTAAATAAACAACATAATTAGCATTGGAAAATCAACTGGACAGCGGTACAGTGTATTATACAAATTTGCTTGCCCTACAGAAAAAAAACACTGGACTCGGATGTCGGGCAATGGGTTATTTCCACCCCTGATTATATAGTTGGAAAATGGCTGATTGAGGTGTTGAACACCAAACAAACATCTGAGTGAATATTTATTGGTTTCACTATGTGTATGGTGTAGTTTCTTCAAGTAAACAAGGCAACACACAGGGTGATTTGTTTTGTCTTGTGGATTAGGCACAAGGTTAGGTAGGCAGGTAGGAATGAACAGCTGATGATCAATTTATGTAGGCCTTTGAAGAAAACTGCCAGAGTATACTGAAGATAAGTTTGGGATCATTTATGTTTGGGGATGATCCTGAACTTTTTAATTCAGTTTAATTTTGTTTGTTTTGGAATGGAGGTGTGTTTTTATGTGCCATTCAAGGCAACTGTCAATCTCATTAAAATCAAATCTTAGTGCTCGCTACTAGGACATGAAGGTCTGAAAACATCCCAGGGGTGGAACAAACTTTAAAATTGCTAGTGTACTCCAGAACAGTGGCACATGTAAAATCACTTGCCCTGATAATTTTTTCACTATACCAGCCGTTTTCTTGTTGTATTTTTAAAATAAACAACATAACTAACATTGGAAAGTCAACTGGACACCGGTACAGTGTGATATACGAAATTTGCTTGCCCGACAGAAAAAAACACTGGACTCGGACGTCGGGCAATGGGTTATTTCCACCCCTGCATCCCATGAAAAGTCTTGTAAGAACCTGAAGTGACTGTGTGATTTATGCCTCTGCTCACCCAGCAGTAATAGGGTACCTGGTAGGATGAGATGGTAATATGAATAAATACTTCTAGCACCTTTAAAAAGTAGTTTGGCAATACCTTGAATGCTTTCTGCAGATATTGATCCTTTTCACTGAACATTGTTTCTTTGCAGGTTGGTTTACGCCACCGAAAGAAGACGGCTAGGTGACAATGCTACACTCACAAGTGCTTTGCTGTTATTGCGATGTCATCGATTTGATAAGAGAGGACTTAATGATGACACATAATAAACAATATACACATGTTGTGCTATTGGGGATTAATGCAAGCTGTCTGACAACTTCCAGATGTACTGAGCTCTTCCTGCAGCCTCAGTGTGGATTTCAGCCCATCCTTGGAAGACTGCACCAGTGACCAGTCAGTCATACTGAATAGCCCTTAGATGCCACAACTGCATTGGATCGGCCTGGTCCTTCTATGTTCATAGTTCACACTTTGTATGCTTTAGTTCGTTTTCTGTCTGTATACTATGGATACTTTTGCAATAGGATGCTTTCAAATGATACTCTGTTCACATTGACAATAATGCTGAAGCCTTTTCTCAGCGATTTCATTTTGTCTTTATTATCCAAATTTCATCATTGCATTTGTAGAATTTTCTTTTTCGTTGCCTCAGTAATCAGTGTCATTTCGTTTTGATGATTAGTTTCTTGTTCTTGGCCCCCAGTTCCCTTCCCTCCCCACCTCACCCCCCTCCCCTAAAACAAAAATATTTGCAGGTTTGATAATGTACAGTTCAACAGCTTCGAGCCGATCTGTTGATAACGAGAATGGGTAGAAAAGGACATATTTACAAATGTTGAAGCAATCAGAATTGTGCTATGTGGGTTATCCTGAGATCTTTCTGTTTATTTATGAGTGTTATTCAACATTTACAAAGTTTGATGTTGGTTGATCATGATCTGCCTCGACAAAGTGTTCACACGTTCCTTGGAACTAGCGATGTCTCCAGACACGGACAGCGGTCTCTACTATCCGGACAAGAGGTCAGTGATGACCGCCCCCATGTTATACCAGCTTCAGAGGTGTTCTTTAGCCATAGCTATCTGATTGCATATTCAGCGAGTGGCAGAAAGTGGCATCTCAGCAAGTGTGTACAGGCGTTATATGCAACTCTTACACAGGGATTCTGGGATTATTTTGTAGTGTATGTGGTGTGAGGGATTTAACAGACGTCATGGACGATGCCGTGGGACTTCTCACCCCCTCAGTACAATTGCTTTTAGAGGAGATTCTCACACAATTATGATTCTGTACAAATAACGAATATTGTACTCTGAACATGTCGTCATCATCATCATCATCAAGTAAACTTCTGTATATGTTTAACCATTCAGTGTTTGTGTTTCCGTGGTTTCAACCTTGGCCATTACCAAGGTTGGGAACCAAAGTTAAAAAGTTAATGGAATTGGATAACAGTATTAGCACCAGAATGATGTGACATCCAGCTATGTCATCCAAATCAAGGATATGACCAAAACCTGTGGTTGAAATCAAGGATATGACCAAAACCTGTGGTTGAAATCAAGGATATGACCAAAACCTGTGGTTGAAATCAAGGATATGTCCAAAACCTGTGGTTGAAATCAAGGATATGACCAAAACCTGTGGTTGAAATCAAGGATATGACCCTTGGTTGAAATCAAGGAAATAAGCCAAACCTATTGTAGAAAGGAAGGATATTACTTCAAACCTATCATGTGCTGAGCGAGTATATTACCAAAACCTGTCATTAGCCGAGCCAACAGTTGGGATTGTGAATGAATAGATTTCTAAAACATGGTTGCGCAGTTCTAAAACATGGTTGCGCAGCAGACTGCATCAACTAATTGCACTGTAACATTCGATCTGAAGTGATGTATGTTCTTGGACTAGGCTGGCACAGAGTCAGATACAAATAATCAATAATTGAGTCTGGAATTAGGTAGCTAACAATGTCAAAGACAACATTCACTTGGTAATTAGTGGGTCTAGACTGACACCAGAACCAGACAAGATGTATTTAGCTTGAATTCCACACTCCCACACCCATTAGTAGTAGGATCTTTCTAAATGGTGTGCATTACATCAAGCTTTCCATTGCCAAAACCAACACTGTCCAGTAACACAGCTCAAGTACATTATGTTCATCTGGATGAAGTTGACGAACCTCCACTTTATTCATCCTTAACCGGGGCGGTGGGGTAGCCTAATGGTGAAAGCGTTGGCTCGTCACGCTGAAGATCCGGGTTCAATTCCCCACATGGGTACAATGTGTGAAGCCCATTTCTGGTGTCCCCCGCCGTGATGTTGCAGGAATATTGCTAAAAGCAGCGTAAAACCAAACTCAGTCATCCTTAACCGCTCAACAGAAGCGCTAATACAATCCTCACTTTTGCCTCCTGGGAGGCTGTTCCCAAGACACCAACATTTTGTCTGGTTTCTTTCTATGTGGAAATATCCTTTACAGTATAATAGAAAGGAACCCAGAGATTATCTTCCTGCCAAACTCGTGGATGCATCTTTGCAGTAGTTCACTTGTCCAAGTCGGGAGGTTTGATATGAAAAAAGTATCCTCTGGCCATGTCGGATTTGACACATGGAGGGATTTGTGCGGTTATCACATTACACTGAGGGCAAGTAAAAAGGTCCGGTTATGTGTCGGAGACATTCATATTGGAGTTTAACGTTTGGAATACACGGGAAATAAAACTTTACACTCCTCAACATGAACGTCGGATAATTAAAATGTATCTGCTAAAATGTCTTCTATTCTTTTGCAATCTGATATGATCCCGTCTGATTGAACAATAGTGAAGCAAGTATAAATCTTTTTGATAAGTGAGTGAATGAGTTGCTTTACGCCGCACTCAGCAATATTCCAGCTATATGGCACCGGTCTGTAAATAATCGAGTCTGGACCAGATAATCCAGTGATCAGTTTTCTGATGAAACGATAGGGACGCCATACCACAGCATGCATGTAACCAGCGTTCATGACGTAACCACCGTTATATATCTGGAAAACCGCGGTGCGCGGCCAACAATTACTGAAACATTTGTTGTCATCTGCGTCTCTCCTATCCCCTCATCTATTTTTCAACTATTGAGAGTTACGGATCGTCCTGTCCGAATAATCTTCCAAAACGCTCTGTTGGTTATATATAGAGCGCATATCTACATCATCGATTGGAAATTATGAAATATTTTTGGAATTATCACATCGATCACGTAGCTTTAAATATATATACTACATTTAATAGAAAGTGAACTTTAAAGAGGATTCCAGCTTAAAACGGAGGGTTTTCAGTGACTCTCTCATTTCCAGGGACAGTGGGGACCATAGGGGTTAAAGCGTTCGCTCGTCACGCCAAAGACCTGGGTTCGATTCCCCACATGGGTACAGTGTGGAAAGCCCATTTCTGGTGTTCCCCGCTCTAATATTGCAATAAACGGCGTAAAATTAAATTCACTCACTCTTCTATTATATACAGCTGGAATATTGCGGAGCAGGGCGTTAAGCAATGAACAAACCAACCAATCATCTATTACAGAACTTGTTCTGGTTTTGGCTTTCGATGTGGAATCCATATTCAATGTTTGTTTGCGATATAAGCTATGCGTGTCACCTGTATTGCTGGGTGTGGTGTGTTTGGGGAGAGTGTACATAGGTAACATGACCAATGTATTCAGTCCAAGCAAGCGGGCGTATGTTATCAATGTTAGTTGTGCATATACTCATGGAAACCAATAAGGGAACACATGAAAGTACAAGTATTCCTTTGTTCTTTCCAGGTTTCTTCACAAGGTATGTATTCCACTGTGGGGGGAATTCGGGAAATAAATAAAGGAACACTGATACTTTCATGTGTTCCTTTATTCGTTTCCATGAGTATACATACATCATCAAGTTTGTGTGACGAGGATTGATTCGTGACAGATTCGAGAATGCTGAATAAATTATAGTCACTTATATTTTGTTGAACTAACTACCAAAATATGTCGTTTTGTGGTGATGTAACGAGATTGTGCTCTATGTTTGATTAAATATAGAATGAGTAGTTGCGTAGGTAGGATTTATTCATGTGTGAGTGAGTGAATTTAGTTTTACGCCGCACTGAACAATATTCCAGCTATATGACGGCGGTCTGTAAATAGTCTGGACCAGACAATCCAGTGATCAACAACATGATCATCGTCCTACGCAATTGGGATACGATGACACGTGTCAAACAAGTCAGCGAGCCTGATCACCCGATCCCGTTAGTCGCCTGTTACGACAAGCATGGGTTACTGAAGATCAATTCTGACCCGGATCTTCACGAGTATATTCACGTGTACGTCTGGAATGATGTTTACTTACGCCACATTCTATCGCAAGGATGTCATGAAGGTGTCGTTTGTGTTTATTTTTTTAAAGCAGTATTGACATATGTACGAAAAGGAATATTTATAGACAAGTGATATTTTCTCCACTTCAAGTACAAAATGTCCAAATTGGGATCATTACCAGGGCTCCCTTCCACAAATCAATTTAAGCGCTACCTCTGCGGTAAGCCAATGTGAGTCATGTGAGTTACAATCACCTAAGGCCAATGATCCCTTTGGTGAACCGGACCCTTATGATTTGTCAGAGAAATTCCGGTATAGAAATCCGAACATTGATAACATCTGAAATGCGTACCGTAGCTACCTCAGTTATATCACATGCTGTTCAGATTTCATGCGCAATCCGACCATGAACGATGGGCAAAGTCAGTTCTTATCCAGTTTTCTTCTCACAACACCAGACAATATATGGACTGCGTGGAATACATATTGCTCCATTTCCTTTTACAGTTTAGAATATTGCTAAAAAGGTGAACATTTGGGTAGGATGGTTTCGTGATCTATCAGGCTATGATGCAAGACATTTCCTGTTTAATACCTCAATGAGCAATATATTTCAGCTATACTGACGCCAGTCTGTAAATATTCCAGTCTGGACCAAAGAATGTAATAAACGAAACGTTGAACAATGATCCGTATGGTCGGTTGTGACGACTCAGGAAAATCACCGAGCTAGACTAAGGCTTAGTCTCTGAATATATATATTTTTGATAGTAACAAACAAGCCCATTTATATTGAAAAGGAGCCCTAGGGAGGAACCTGAGGAAATCTAGACTTGCTTTATTGAGGGCTTTGGCACTGCAGAGAGGGCTTGGCAGTAGGGAAAATAATGTGGTTCAGGGACTGTGAGACAGACTACATTGTAGGGAGGGCTTGGCAGTAGGGAAAATAATGTGGTTCAGGGACTGTGAGACAGACTACATTGTAGGGAGGGCTTGGCAGTAGGGAAAATAATGTGGTTCAGGGACTGTGAGACAGACTATCACCGAGCCTAACCACTCTCTTATAAACATGGAGTGCTGGCGACATCTAACAAGGGTTCCCCAGTTGGGCCCCGATTTTTAAAACACATGATAATATTTTCCCAATCATCTGTCATTAACATTGCATCGTCCTCTGAATATTCATGATGTTGAAAACTGTTAGTTCGTTGTGTCAGTGAGTGAGTGAGTTTAGTCTCACGCTGCTTTTAGCAATATTCCAGCAGCATCACGGCGGGGGGACACCAGAAATGGGTTTCACACATTGTACCCATGTGGGGAATCGAACCCGGGTCTCGGCGTGACTAGCGAACGCTTTAACCACTAAGCTACCCAACTGACCTCGAAACATTGTGAAACGGGAAGCGATACTTTGTTTGCATAGTGGGTGAGTGAGTGAAGGAGCGAGTGGTCACATCTCAAACAACGTTGTCTCCCTGTCTCTCTTAGTGCCAGTAGACTAAGTTCTAAACATTACTAGTGAAGCCCTTTTCTGGTGTCCCCCGCCGTGATATTGCTGGAATATTGCCAAAAGCGGCGTAAAACCAAACTCAGTCAGTCAGTCAGTCTAAACATTACTTCAATTTCCAGAGTTCGGATTTACGCCGCTTTTAGCAATATCCCAGCAATATCACGGCCGGAGACACCAGACACGGGCTTCACACATTGTACCCACGTGGGGAATCGAACCCCGGTCTTTAGCATCCAACCACCCTTGTTTGCGTAGTCACCAGACGTAGTACTATGACTCGAACAATTTGTTTACTGAAATGTATAGGTAAGGGAGTGAGTTTAGTTTTACACTGCACTCAGCAATATTCCAGCTATATGACGGCGGTCTGTAAATAATCGAGTCTGGATCAGACAATCCAGTGATCAACAGCATGAGCATCGATGTACGCAATTGGGATACGATGACGTGTCAACCAAGTCAGCAAGTTTGACCACCCGATCCCCTTAATGGCCTCTTACGACAAACA